GATCCATCTCGGCGTCCTCCTGGGCCTCCTTGTTGCTGTCGTCCAGGTGCTTCATGAGCACGGCCACCACCACGTTGATGAGCACGAACTGGGCCGTGAGCACGAAGCTGACGAAGTACAGTGGCGACACGAACTGCAGGCTGCTCAGGCAGCTGCGCTCGTCGTGGGTGCAGTCCCGCAGCGTGTCCTGTGCCCAGCGGGGTGGGAGGCAGGGTGAGGCCCGGAGGTCCCCAGGCCCAGGCCTCGTATCTGTCCTCCAGGAGCCCCTCCCTGCCCAGCCCAGCTAGACTGCAGGCCGGGGCCAGGGAGCCTGTGCTGGGTGATGGGCAGTGCGGCCAACGCCCGAGGGCCTGGCACCTGGAAGAGCAGTGCCTGGAGCCTCTGGCCCTGGGTGGAGTCTGGTCCCCTAGCATCTGAGCACTGGTCCCGCAACAGCATTTAGGGGCGAACAGAGAAGCTATTCTGGCCTCAACTCCACCTTACTGTGCTGCAGGGTCCCAGGCAGGTCCCTCTGCTTCTCTGTGCCCTGCAACCCCTCCCGTGGGCCTGGGAGTCCATGACTGTCAGACCTGAAACCCAGCCTGACTCTCCCTCCCCAGCCCACCCTCGAGTACCTTCATGATCCCATTCCAGTTGTCACCGGTGGAGACCTGGAAGAGCGTGAGGAAGGCCATGCCGAAGTTCTCAAAGGTGGCGTGCCGGCTCATGCCCTCGCAGGGGTTCTCATCGTTGCAGACTGGAAGGAGAGTGGGGTCAGCCCCACCCCAGGCACAGCCTGCCCTGCACTGCTGCCTCCTGGCCACATCTCAGAATCCCCACCACAACCTCAGGTGTGTGCGGACCATGCCCAGCCCACAGCTGGAGAAACTGAGGCCCAGGCAGGTGGTACACAAGCTGGGAGTCAAACTCAGGTGAGCCTGGCTCCTCCCCACACCCAGGTATCAATTCCTGCAAGAGAGGATGGGGTGGGTAAAGGCTGATGCTCAAGGGACCCTGTGTTCTGGAGCCAGCCCTGTGTAGGGCTGGGCTTGGCAGGAGCTGTGTTGCCCTCGGCCTGTGCCCTGGCCACTCTGCCTGCTGGGGCGCCACTGGCTCAGGACCGGCACCAGCAGGTGGAGCCAGAAGGGGCTTTCCCGAGAGGCTTCAGACGGCTGATGGGGCTCCAAGCTGGGGGTCCCCCTGTACAGGCCTGGGTGTGCACTGGACTCAGACTAGCATCTCTCAAAAGCTCCTGTTCACACTGGGCAAGAGGTGTGGATGGCTGAGGGTTACACATCCATTCCACTGTGGGCCTGCAGCAGGGGCACCACCCCAACACAAAGACCTTGACATGACAGTTGGTGGGCAGGGGGGTCTCAGGACTCCCTGCCCTACCAAAGCCCTCCTCCAGACCTGTTCCACACACCCGCCCCCCACAGGCCTTTTTCGGGCATCACTCACCCAGCTTCCCGAACAGCTCCACGCCCAGGGCAGCATAGATGAAGAAAAGCAGCATGAAGAGGAGGCCCAGGTTGCCCACCTGTGGGGACAGCAGGTGGGGATGGAGGGCCAGCAGGCTTCAGGCAAAGGGCCAGCCTGAGGGTCAGGGCAGCTGCAACATTTCACCCAGCTGCGTCCGTGTCTGCCCCTGCGCACGACCTCCTGCAGGGCAGGCCAGGTCCAGCACGGGGCACAGGAAAATAATAAAGCACCTGTGACACCTTTACTGTGAGCAGCCCAGTTTCAAACACTCCATATTCGTTACTCCACACAATGGCCTACGAACTCTCTTTTACCCCCATTCCTCAGATGACCAGAAATTATGTACTAAGAGATGAAGTAACTTTCCCAGGGTCACACTGTTAGTAAGTGGAAGGACTGGGGTTCAAGCCCAGCAAGCTGGCCCCAAGGTCCATGCACACAGTCACTACTCCATACACCTGTGTGTGGTTAGTACCATCCCATGGATGAATGGAGAGAGGGCGTAAAGGAAGTTGTAGCAATAAGGCCACCTCCTCCATGAAGCCTGCCTGGATTCCTTTGGGCAGAACAAGATGCAGTCTGACAGCGTGAGTATAACCAGTGTGTCCCTGTCACTGTCTCTGCTGGTCTGGGAAGTCCCTGAGAGCAGGGACATGGCTGGATTAATTCAGATCCGCTTCCTCAGGCCAGCCTGGGCCCTGGCTATAGAGAGGAATGAACACAGGAATCATGCTAGACTGTGGGCCCCAGAAGCCTCCTGCAAACCCAGCCACCCCCGTCCCACAGCTCCTGTGGGAGAAAAGCATCCGAGATTCCAACCTATTTCAAATCCAACCGTAGACTGGAGACCGCCTTTAACTTGTGTTATGGACAAGATAATGCTCAAACACGTCCTCGCCCTAGAAATGCAGTATCTCCTAGAAGCCTCAGAAGACCTGCATGAATGGAATCCGAGATGTTCACAGTAATTGCTGAAAAGTAAACCACGTTAATCACAGACTCCTAATGTTTCTCTGCTCCAGACGAGGGTTTCCTTCAGAGCTACAATCACACCAACAGTGTCTGACTAATTAAATGATGCTCTTTCATTAATGAAACAAGCACTTATGGAGCCCCTACAAGGCAAGGTGTGAGGCCCTGACAGCGAGAGGAATCAGGCATGGCCTGGGCCCTCAGCTCAGCCTCCCACCCTGTGCAGGCCCAGGTCAGAGTGTCTTCGACCTCACCTTTCCTATCAGTTCCCGCCCACAGCATTTCCGAGTCTGTGTGGCTACAGCGGCCTCCTCACTTGCCTCCAGCCTCTCCCTCCAGTCCACGCTCCTCACAGCCACCAGAGCAACCTCCTAAAAGGCAGCTCTGCTTGATGCCTCCCTTGTCTAGAACCTCCCGTGGCTCCCACTGCCCACAGGACCAAGCCCAAGTTTGCTCTCCTGGCATCGAAGACCTGTGTGATCTAGCCCTGCAGACCCCCTCCCATCCTGATCTTCCAACCTCAGACTCCAGCCACACAGAAAACAGACCTCATCTGCATATTCTGTTTCTTCTGCAGGGAAGACCCTCTCTCTCTGTCTTTGCCTAGTAAATGCTTCCTCCCCACCCCTCATAGCCCAGATCACAGGTCACCTCCTCTGAGAAGTCTTCCCTGATACCTTCTCCCCCTGCATGCCTGAGGTAGAGCCTAGAAGGAAGGGGCTGAAGTTTCATTTTCATATCACTTTACACATAACCAAGGAGATGTCCAGGGTCAGCTGATAGATTTTGAGGGGTAATCCCCTCACCCCAGTATCACATGGTACTTGGCACATGCATCTCTTAAAGTGCTGATGAAATTGTAATTACTATCATGTGTCTCCCACTTGAGGCTGGGACCTTCTAGGCATCTCCATGTGCCCTATGCCAACTCACAGTTGGCCTGGGGAGCCACCCAAGGGTGCCCAGGGGTCAGAACAAGGGGACAAGGGGAAGGGCAAGGAGGCCAGGCAGGCTGGGGGCACACACTTGCCACCCCTATCCCCATCCTTCGCAGATTTTTACATGGCACTTCCTGTGACCCAGGTCCCGCTCAGTGCTTTATAAGCCTTAACAATTGTAAACCTCACAACATCCCTTTGAGATAAGCATTGTTATCATTCCCCACTTCATAGGCAAGAAAACTAAGGCCTGAGAAATTGAATCACACACCAGGATCTCCCCGGGGGACTAGGCTTTGGCAAGTAGGGTGGGTTGAGTCTGGGCTCCAGCCTACTTCCTGTCTGCACACCCCCACCCACCCCCAGCCCAGCACTCACCCTAATCTCCCATGTGACAAACTCCTCTGAAGGGATTTCAGCTCTCTGAATGAAGGCCCTTGCTTTCCATCCAGACCCGACATGAGCCATGTCACTTTCCCTTTGCAACAAGGCTGCTGGGAAACTCAGATCAAACTGAAGAACAGAGCTCACTAACATCCTCAGCCCAGCTGCCTGAGAAAACTAGCTTTGCTTTCACCTTCCCTGGGCCGTTAACCTTTTATCCTCATTTTTAGCGTGCTGTGTCTGTGCCTTTTACTTTAAGGTACCTGAAGCTCCTTAAGACTCGATGAGTCATAATGAATAAATGAAAAGTATATGAGGCTCACCTCACAGTGAGGTGAGGCCACACTGAGGGGAGGGAGAAGGGGAGCCTGGGATGCAGAATTCCCAGGATGTGGCCCGGGCTCTACCTCCCTTCCACCCACCACTGAGATGGGGTTGGGGGGGGCCTTCCTAACATCCCAGGGTTCCCACCACGGCAGGACCTCACGCTGTCCCCTCCTGGAATGTCCTATCTGTCACCTCTCCATCCACATCACCACCTCCTCCTACCAAGCTGCCCTACAAGGTCAAGCTCAAAGCCCCCTGGTTCCCCCAGGGAGTGTCAGGATCCTCTTCTCCCTACACTGCCCTGAGGCATGTCTTCTCCACCAGACTGGTGACTCCTGAGGGAAGAATGTGAGTCCTCAGTGGGCAGCCCAGGGCTGGTGCAGAGCAGGTGTGAGCGAGCACTTGGCCAAAAAGGAAGAAAGAGGCAGAGGGGACCCTTCCCACCTCTCACAGCCCCTAGCTCACACTGCTTCTCTGGAGGCGGGACTCTGCCCTGGCTCCAGGTAGGTCCAGGGAGAAGGGCAGTGAGGGCTCGCACCCTCCAGGGCCGAGCATGACACTAGTGACAGCCAGGCGGGGCGGCCGAAGGAGCGGCTCTTACCTGGGGCAGCGCCTGCACCACGGTGTCCAGCAGGGCCCGCATCCCCGTGGCCATCTTCAGCAGCTTCAGCACTGTGGGCAAGACCCAGCGCGGCCCACTCAGCCCAGGCCAATGGGGACGGGTGTGTGCACAGGTGTGCACGGGTGTGAACGTGGAGGAAGAGTGAAGAATTTGGGGAGCATGTCAGCAAAGCGGATAGCTCTGTGATGTCGCACTACACGCACGTGGGTGCAGCTGAATGAGGGAGTTGCATGAAAACAAGTGTGCACAAGGTGGGACGTCGGTGTAAAAAGTCCAAGAGGAGGAGGGCAGGAACAGTGGGAACGGAGGGATGTGAAGTGTGCGCGTGAGCGAATAAGTCACCGTGATGAGACAACAGTGAGCGATGTGTGAGCGCCCACGTCTCTCCCCGCCCCTCCGTGTTACTGCCGAGATTCTCCACTGGGCCCCTCCCCACCTCCGAATCTGGAAGCAACAGGTGGTTCAGGGGGAAGGGCGAGCACCGAGGCAGGAGGTTTTTGAAAGAAGTAAGAGGACAGCCTTGGGGTGAGAGGGAGGCTCTTGGAGAAGGAAAGAGATTTTCAGGACGGTGTGTCGCAGCCAGTGTTGGAGAAATGCCAGTGAGGAGCCCAGTGTCTTCCCAGCTGCACTGGGTTCCCTTCAGCCCAACCTGAGGCTGGACCGCACGGGTCACGGTGTGATATGGAGGTGGGTGCAGGGTGCTGTGCAGAGCTGTCTGGACGGGAGCACATGTGTGAACACAGCGGGTGAGGGTGTGTCAGGTACAGGATGCTCCTGGCTCCTGTTCCCCCCTCCCCCGCCTGTCCCGCCTCCCGCTCCCGCCCCTCACCCCGGGCAATGCGCAGGACCCGCATGATGCGGATGATGGTGGGGTTGATGGGCAGTGCTGCGTTGATCTCGATCTCCTCCAGCGTGATGCCCATGACCGACAGCAGCACGATGGCCAGGTCCAGCTGGTTCCAACTGCACAGCCGGGCAGAGGAGGGCAGGAGTGAGAGGCAGGGTGAGAGGCACTCGAGTTTAGATACGCTCCAGCTGGGACGAGTCCCCCACCTCTACACCCTCCTGCCATGGCCCAGGGGGGTCCCTCACAGCCCTTCCAGACCCTACTGGTTCCAGCTCCCTTTCTGCCCACCACAGCCTCTGATCCTTCAAGCAAGAGGCTGACCAGGCTAAGCAAACACCTCTGGCCTCCTGCAGGAGGAATGGACTCTGACTCCTAGGTCTGAGTCTTGAACCAGCTGCTCTCTCTGTGTGGCCTTGAGCTAGTCCATCAGCCTCTCTGAGCCCAACTTGTTCCCTTCCTCCAGAAGGACTGGCCTGAGGGATGCCCTGCTCTGCTTGTGGGGTATGGAGGACCCACAAGAGACAAGCTGAGGAGGGCTTGGCAGAATGCCCTGCACCCATCCATTGGAGCCATAATCACTTCCTGTTCAGGATTTTAGGCAGCACCTGGGGTCCGTGGCCATCAGTGCCCAGATGTTTATTGGCTCCCCTCCTCCAGCTACTCCAGGCTTCCCCAAGGATCAGGACTGCTTCTCCATCCTGCAACCCACTCAGTGCTACCCCAGCCCAGCCCAGCTGCTCACCGGTCCTTGAAGAAGCGCCTCAGACCAAACGCCACCAGCTTCATCACAGCCTCCAGCACAAAGACAGTGGTGAACATGTAGTTGCAGTACTTGAGGGCTGTCTCCAGGGACTGCAGGGGCAAAGAGGAGAATGATCCAAGCCCTATGACCTGGTGCCCACCTTCCTCCGGTCAGAAAATCTCTACCTTTTAAGGGGAGAATTTACTCCATTCACATTGACTATAATGATTTATGTATCTGCTTCTATTCCTTCCTTCTTAACTATTTATTTTACATTGCTGTTTCCTTTCCCTGTTTCTGCTGGTTTGGTCCAACTGCCCTTCTTTGGAGGCAGTATGGGGCAGTGGTTAAGCGTAATGGTTAAGAGACAGGCTGCCTAGATTTGAATCCAGGCTCAGCACTTACTCTTCGTTCACTGTGTGACCTTGGGCAAGTCACTTGACCTCTCTGAGACTTAATTTTCCAATCTATGATTTGGGAATGATAATAGTACCTACCTCAGAAAGTTGCTATAAAAATTAAATGAAGTAATAGCCCAAGGCCAGACAGAACAAGTACTTGGTAAATGTGAGCTATTATTATTCCATTTCTTCATGTTAATTTAGAAGTTCTATAATTACTGTTCCATTCTGCCAAGGTTGCCTTCCTTTTCCCCGCACTCCTAATATTCCTCTGCTACCATTTAAAATAAGATACTAATTCGTCATTGAGAGGCTCTGCTCCCCCTTCTTTCCGCCCCTACTCTCGGAAGACTTGCCCCTACACACCCCTCAAGTGCCCCTCACGCACACTACCTGCAACTAGCTGGGAACTGGTCACCCTCTCCTGCGCCAGTGTTTGACCCCAGTGGTCCTGCCCCTCTCCCAGGCAGCGGTGGAGCCACATGGCAGGCCTTGAATGCAAATCAAGCTCCAGTCCGGCCACCACTACCCACTGCCTGAGTAACCTGGGCAGTGCATTTTATCTCTCTGCGCCTTGGTTTCTTCCTCTACAAAATCTGGAGAAAGCCCTCCCCAGTGAACACCTTAGTGTTGCTGCAAGGATTAGAGAACTGATGCCTGCAGCGTGCCCTGCAAAAAGTCACACTGAACACCCCGCAGCCACTGTCACTCACATTCAAGGCTGGGCCCAAACGTCACCCCCCTGCCCCCTGCTCAGCAGGACAGTGACCTTCCCCTTTCACTCACCTGTCCTGCCAGGCCCAGGGCTTCCTGAGTATAAGGCCTACATGGGAGGGTGCTCAGACCCTGCCCCACCCCGTCCCCGGTGTGGGGTCCTGCCAAGGACCCAACCCTGCCACGTGACCTGTGGCGGGGCCAGGCTGGGCTCACCGTGGGCTGGTTGTAGTGCTCCAGGGACATGGTGACCACATTGAGGCAGATGATGAAGGTGATGAAGATGTCCAGGTAGTGGCTGGTGCACATGGAGTGGATGAGCAGCCGAGTGGGACAGTAGGTGGCATAGTAGGGCAGCCGCTGGGCCTCTGCAGGGGGTGTGGGGTTGGGAGGTGGCGGGCACAGACCACAGAAGGTCAGGCCAAGGGAGGGACAGGGCACACGGAGGGAGAGGTGGAGGGAGAAGGCACAGGGGAGTGATGCGGGTCCTCCCAAGGCCCTGGGAGTCAGTCTCCTCCACCCAGCCAGGGTGCGTCGAGGGAAGGGGGCAGGACGTGAGGGAGAGTGGCAAAGAGGGACACTGACTCTCCCCATCTACCCCAGATGTGCCCATGTGTGGGCTCCGGGTCTGCTGGCGGCAGGACAGGGGTCCCACAGCTCAGGGCTGGGCCTCTAGGCTCTGCCTTTGCCCTCTGCCTGGACTGAGCTGCCAGGGCCTCATTCAGGTGGGCAGTGGGGTCATGGTCTCACTCTGGATGGACACCAATAGGGGTCAGGTCACCGGGACAGGCCGATATTGGGGGAAGGGCAAGGCCAGGGGCACAGGTCCCTTCCAGCTCCAAAGGCCCCGAGGCTGGGGTCAGGCCCAGGCTCAGCCCCTGCACCCCAGAGGGCCAGCGGCAGCGGGCAGAGGAGCCCTGGGGCCTGGACTCAGAGAGGGGGTGGGGGGCCCCACTCTGTGTCCCCCACTCACTCCGGCGCTTCTTCTCCAGGCGCCGCAGCCGCTTCTCCTCGCGCCGCCGCGCCTCCTCCGCCTCCTGGTGCTGCCGGCACTTGTGGAAGTTCTCCACCACGACGCCCACGAACATGTTGAGCACAAAGAAGCTGACGATGAGCAGGAAGGAGATGAAGTAGAGCAGCATCCAGGGGTTGTGGTTGGGCACGGGCTGCGGGGAGCCAGACGGGGCTGAGGCAGGCGGGTCGGCACCGCGGGGCCTGCCACAGCGGGCACCCCACCTCGCCCAGCGTCTGCGCAGAGCGGGTACCAATGGCAGCCTCCTAGGAGGCTGTGAGGTTTGGAGGTAGGATGTGCCCCTCCTGAGCACAAGAAAGGTGCTCAGCAAAGAGAGCCCTCCCCTTCCCTGCCACCTGGACACACGTCCATCCGTCTTCTTCCGCTCACTCGCCCATCCATCCACTTATTCATCCATTCACTGATCGTCCACCTATTTATCCACCCATCCATCCATCTGTCCATCCATTCATCCAGCCACTCACTTACTCATTTATCTACCCATCCATCCATTCCTCATCTATCCATTTACCACCCACCCATCTACTTATTCATCCATCTAGAAACAAGGCAGGAAACAAAGCAGCCAGCAGAGGAGAGAGCACAGCCCTGGTGGAGTCCAAGTGTGTGTATGTGTGTGTACATCTATGTGTGTGTCTGTGCGTGCGTGTGTGTGTGTGTGTTGGTGGACGTGGTGGGCAGGAGGGGTGTACAGACAAAGAAGTGGAGGAGGATGTCTCTAAGCATTCTCATTCCCCGACATCTCCATCCTCCACTTCCACCTCCAGCTCGAGTTGGGTGAGGCCCATGAAGCCAAGAGCCTGAGGTCAGCTACAGGCCTAGAAGTTACCTTCAGGCCTGATTCCTTCAGTGAGTGGGCCTTGCTGTGACCTAGAGTATCTCCCTACTGGAATGACCCTGACTGCTGACCCTGGTCAGCCACATGTCTTGTCTAAAGTCCCCACCCAGCCCGAGAGGGGACCCCTGCTCTCAGGGAGATCTTGGGAGTGAGGGCTCAGGCCTCCTCTCAGGCCCAGCCTCCTCCCTGACCCCTTCCACCCTGGCACCCCAAACCCATCCTCACCCAGCAGCCCCCAGGAAGCTCCCACAAGCTAACGTGGCTGTAACGCCTTCACTGACTCCCACGGCCCTCAGATATACTCCAGCCCCAGCTGCACGCACAGGTCTTCCTAACTTTCCCGCCCTGCTTACCTCCCGCACCCACCTCCTGCCACTCTCCTTCCACTTTCTACCCTGACCCTCGACTCTCGACTCCCTGAACATGTCACTGTCCCGCCCCAAGCCTGCACGTGCTATCCCTCGCAGCTGGCTCGGCCCCTCTCCTCCTCCGACACTAGGTTCTCCACCCACAGGCTGTGCAGCCCTCCAAGCACAGCCAGCTTGCAGAGCCGGGTTTGTTGAAGCAAATGGCACAGTGACTTATGCTAGCCAGAGAGCAGCCCTAATGGTGGAGGATACAGGCCAGGCGGGGAAGGGGTGGGCTGTGGTTGACAGTGGGAGACGCTGGGGTTTCCTGACACCAGCTTCAGACCCCTAGGCCCCAAAGACTCCGTGTCCTGCCCCCTCTGCCCTGGCTGGACTTGACCTCAGCCACGCCCACCTGCTGGTCCACAGCGACAGCATCCAGTCCATTGTACATGATGTTCACCCAGCCATCCTTGGAGGCCAGGACAAAGAGGGACATCAGGGCCTGGAAGACACAGGAGGAAAGGGGACAGGGGTGGTGAGGGCAGGCAATGCAGGCTACATCTGCCCCTCCTCACCATTTTTATGCTTTTGGGTGGCAGAGGGACCAAGAGGCCTTCCCCACGTTGAGGGCAGAGCTGGAAACCGAGGTCAGTACAGTAAGTAGCAGAAGCAGGATTCACACCAGGTCTGGCTGACTCCAAAACTCCTATCAAGGTCCGCTGAGTGGAAGGTAGGGACTAGGAACCAATCCCCACTGAAGCACTTACTAAGAGCCAGGCACCTGCTGGACACTCAGCAATCAGGGTCTTAAGCTTCATGCTACCTGTAAGATGAGTTCTGCCCATTTTGCAGAAGAGGAAACCAAGGCTTGGAAAGCAGAAGTCCTGGCAGGGCAGGACTGGAGGCTGGTCTGTAATCCCAGGGCTGTTGGCACCAAAAAGCCATCACCTCTACCCACCGGGGATGGGTCAGGTCAAGGGTTGGTGGGGGTGCTCACCTGGCCCAGATTGTCGAAGTTGTACTTGTGATGGACCCAGCGGTAGTTGGCAGCCACGCAGTCGGAACGGTTGGTGATGTTGCGGGTGTCTACACCCAGACAGTGGTAGAACTTGCCCTTGAAGAGCTAGCGGGTAGCGACACAGGGTTAGTGACTGTCCTGCCAATGTTCCCAGAGGGTGGGGGTGGGTTGCACATCAGAAGAGGGACCCGCCCTCCGGGGGCACTTCCTCTGTGCACGGCCTGAGCCAAGCACTGGACCACACCATCCCTCCATGTCCCCAGTGTGAGGTGGGGCTACTCTCATCCTGTCTCGGTGAGGAGACTGAGAGCCAGGAGTGTAAGGTAATTTTCCCAAAGTCATTCGAGGTTTAGGAGGTGGCAGAGGCAAGGTTCACACTCTGGTCTGTCTGACGCCTAGCTCTTCCTCAGACCCTGGAGACCAGACCCCAGTACCCACACTGGGGATTTGGGCAGGGACTCCACGCGAGAGTGCTGCCTGCGGGCCCCAAGGGGGAGAGAAAGAGAAGTACAGAGACTCTTTCTAGGGACCCAAGCCCTCTCCATGTCAACTGCCTGGAAGGGCAGGGTCACTGTTCACACCGGATCCACACCAAGCCCCTCCTGCCCAAGCAGCTGTGCTGTGAACCTCTCAGCAACCCCAAAGGACACCTGCACACAGGGCTCCTGCAAAGCTGCAGCCCCAAACACAGGGCCAGGTGGGGAGCCTGGGAGCCTCCGAGTAGGGCTCAGACCCTCAGGAAACAGGGTCTCAGCAGCAGCTCAGACCCCAGGAGGCCCAGGACATTCCCACTGTCCCAACACGCACTTTGTGATCTGCCCCTTCCTATTCCTGTGCTGACCTCCAAACCAAAATCTGAGTCAGTTCAAGGCCCTGCGTGGGTCAGAGACCCTCCATGGCCTTGACCCCAGAGTAGCCAAGCCCAACTCCTTAGCTGCCATTTCAGGTCTCTCCCCACTCGGCCCAGCTCATCTCTCTACACCCACTATAGCTCCAAGTTCTCTCCCCAAACATGCCTTGCTTGGTCACACCTCCCTACAGGTGCCCACCTGCCCCTGAAACACCTTCCCCCCATGGTGACTTGCCCAAATCACCTGTCCTTCAAGGCCCAGTGCAAAGGCCCCTCCTTCAGGCTGTTTTCTCCATTGTTCCCAGACCAGACCTGTGTTCCTGCACACCTTGGACCCCTGGGATCCCATTTACCCAGACTGCCCTGCGCTCAGCCACTGGGGCCGTGTCTGTCTCCCTCCCTGGAAGGGGAGCTCACTGCTGGCAGGGACCATGGCTGCTCCACCAGGACCACCTGGCATAAAGTCGGGAGAGTTGGGCAGGAGTGTGGAGCCCCTTCCCCGACCACAGAGCCCCCCGCCCCTGCCTGCCCAGCCTGGGTACCCCTCACCTGCACCCCCAAAATGCCAAAGATAATGAAGAAGGCACAGCAAATGAGGACGATGTTGCCGATGGGCTTGAGGGAGGAGATGAGTGTCTCTACCACCAGCTTCAGGCCAGGTGCCCGGCTGATGACACTGCAGGCAGAGAGGGGCCAAGGGCACTGTTAGCCCTTAGCCAGGCCTGGAGACACCCCTCCTTGGCCCAGAGTCACCAGGGCAGAGGACACCAGGCCCCAGATCTATACACAAAGCAAGATGCTGTGCTTTCACCCCATCCCCTTAGGATCCACATCACACCCTCCTCTAGACACCAAGGCCCAGAGGTGGCAGTGAGCCACCCAACGACACAGGGAGACTGGAGGCCACCTTCAGACCCTGCCTTCCAGCACTTGTTTCAGGCTCCTCCCCCAGGACGAGGGCCCACCCCTCTGGTGCTTGGCGCCTGCTACGAGGACAGAGCTGGGTGGAGGGCCGGAATGAGGGGTCCACTGAGACTCTGGGGGCTTCCTTGGACAGTGCAAGGATTCCCCCACTCATGGGGCAGGGTCGTCACCGCAGAGGTCGTAGGGTGCGCAGGAGCCGCAGGACTCGGAGGACCCCCAAGATCTTGGCTCCCCCAGCCGAGGCGACTGACACCACGATGTCAATGATTGACACGAAGACGAGGAAGCCATCCAGCACATTCCAGCTGCTGCGCAAGTACGCCTGCTCCCCGAAGTACAGGCCCAGTGAGACCACCTGGGGGAGGGGCAATGGGAGGGGTCAGCCGGACTCCGCCATGGGGTGGGGCGAGGTCAGGTGGGTGAGGGACAGAGTCAGGTAGGTTTCAGGCAGTGGGGAGCGCGTGGGCAGTAGCAGGCTCCTGCCCAGCCACCCCCTCTGAAGGTGGCTTATAGGTACGTCTCCACCTATCTAAGGAGCCAATCCCTGAAGCACAGGCCCACAACTGCCCCGTTGCCTTCTCCCTGCATATCTGGCAAACCCAATTTGAAGCCATGCACTCTGGGACGCATCATAGATGGAGCCTTCCCCCAGTGCCCCAACCTCCAGGAGCTTCCTCTGCTACACTGGAAGTGGGTTGTGGGCTGTTGGAGAGTGGGGACTGCCCCCACTCCCCGCTCCAAGTAGCCCAACCCAGCTGCTGGCACCAAGTAGGGGTAGGCCTCCAAGGCCACCTGTGGAATTCTGCTGAGGGGCAGGTGAGTGACAAGCTGAAGGGGGCCGGGGCCTGGGCCAGGGCCTGGAGCCCTGGAAAATGGTTGGGAGAGGTCCCAGGTGAAGCCAGGTACCTTTAGTGTCATCTCGCCCACGAAGATGGCTGTGAAGATGTAGTTGGACACAGTGAGGAAGATGCGTTCCTGAAAGAGCCGGGGGATACCATGGGCCCAGGGGCATCCCGGAGAGACTGCCCCTTCACAGGCTAAGGAGGCAGCCCCCGCCCCCGATCCAAGCTCCCTGCCACACCTCCCAACCTGGCATTCGGCCTCGCTGAGCCCTCCAAGCCCTTCAGCCCTGCACACTGTCCCACAGCAGGCCCTGGTGGCCTGCCCCTCTGCCTCGTCCCTTGCATGGCCGGAAGTCCCCAGCCACTCACAGTGCTGCCGGCCTCAATCTGGGGCCGCTCCAGGGCAATGGTAATGCAATTGAGGAAGATGAAGGCCAAGACAACGTAGTCAAAGAGCCTGTGGGCGATGATGGTCTGACACAGGACCCGGAACCTGGGCAGGGAGGGCAGGAGGCCATGCGAGTGTCGGTTTGCCCCTCACCCTGCCCAGGAGAAAGGCAGAAGGCCCAAGCACATGGGGGCCAGGATGGCCTAGAGGAAGCTGACCCTTCTATTCTCCTCTGGCCACACAACAGGTGGAGACTTCATATCTGCTCAGGATGCCCACCTGAAGCCACTTCCACTGACCACACTGCAAACTTCTGGCACCACAGGATGATGGGCACCCACCTACCCCTGGCTCTCAAGGCTTTCCAAACACTGGCCTGAATCCCTGCGCCTTGTCCTCCAGCCGCATGGACACATGTTACCTGATACCCTCAGCTTCTGCCCTCAGGTCTTCCCTTGGGCTGTGCCCTCTACCTGGACCAGCCTCCAATTCTTCACAACCCCATCTTCATCTACAGAACTTTGTCTGCCTTCAAAGTCCAGCACAAAGGCCTCCTCCCCAAGGAAGCCTTAGGATGCCTGCCTCCAGATGGAAGCACCCCAAGTTACTAAAGATTTGTTCAACCTGGTGCCCAGCACTGGGATGGCCTAGAGTAGAGGAGATGCCCAGGAAAGCCCCCACATGAACACCACCCTCCTCTGCAGACCCTCCACTACAAGGCCACGGGAGTCCTCTGGGTTGTGGGGAACTCCCCAGTGTCCTTACTTGGCTTGGCAGAAATCTCTCCCTCCCAGACGTGTCAACCCCCTACTCTAACCTCATCCCAAGCCTGGCCCTGCCCACCTGTTCTCCGGGGAGAAGAGGTAGACAGACCAGTCTTCACGGACTTCGCACCAGTCAGGCTTGTAGACGTCAATCATCTTGCGGACACGGAAGCACAGAGTCTGGCAAGGGAAGGACGGAGTGCAGGCGCGTCAGCGCGGCCCAGAGCTACTCATCTCCGCCCACCCTGGCCATCTAGCAAAATGGGGCCACTGGATGACCTCCGAGCTCTCCCATCAATCCAGAACCCTCGCCCCCTCCAGGGGAGGCAGGGAGAGTTTTTCTCCCCTGGGCGCGCCCAGCTCAGAGGTGGGCAGTTGTGGCCCCCTGCTCACCCACTTGAAGCCCTCTTCCCTCTTGGCCTTGCCCCCTTAGGGCGGGGCCTGGTCGGGCCCTCCCACTCCAGCCCCGCCCCCTCGCACCCTTCCCGCTTCTGTCCGATCTTCTCGTGGGCCCCTCGGCCGGCCCTAGAGCCCCGCGCACTCACGTAGTCCATCTCCTCCTCATCCTCCCCGCGATCCCGGCGGTCGTCCATCTTGGTGAAGACATCCTTGGCGATGCCGGGCATCCTCCCATTGCAGTCCTCGTGCCCGGGGGCCGGGCCTGCAGCCCTCCAAGCCGCCCGGGGGTGTGTGCCCACGGTGGGTACCAGCTCGGCCAGGTCCACCGAGTCTCTGGTGTCAAGGGACAGCGTCCGGCGGTGGTGGCGGTGACGGTGCGCCGGATGGGGACCATGATGCGCGTGGTGCGCGTGCGGGACGTGGAGGGGCGCGGCCCGCGGCGGCCCCTCTTCCCGGG